AAAAAAAATTTTAGCGTTTTTTTTTCAAATAAGTCGTAGTCGAAAAAAAAATTCGTTCAAATCTTTAAAGACTTGTATCTTAAATACCTGTATAAAATTTTATGAAGATCGGTTGAGTAGTTCTCGAAAAATCTTGCCCCCCGACTTCGAAAACACAGTTTCAAGAAAAACGCACTTAGCCTAGGTAGCCTCGAGCGCACAAGTTCTCAGGGCTGTATCTCCGAAACTATTACTTGGATCAACTTGAAAATTTTGGACAATGTTCTGGAAGTGCTGTATAATTTAGTAAGATAATAAAAAAAAAGAATTTTTTCAAACTCGTAATCCCTTAAACATTACACCAAGCTACAAAATGTTAGACGCAAATTAGAGAACGAAATTTTCCAATCTCAAAACATGAGCTCAACTCAAAAATTATATTCGAAAAGTGAGGCAAATAATCTTGCAAATCAAAGAGTAAAACAGAAGAATGAAGATACCTAGTATCAGGATCGAAAAGAACCTCTAGCTGTAACTAATTTTGTACATTAGATTATAGAAAACTGATTACCAAAAGGAAACTTTAAGAAAATTCTGCGGTCGGCAAATGTTTGGAATTTGTTTTGATAAACGCGATAGATTTGAATATTACATATCATCAATTTCTAGAGTCGTTTTGTAATATTATTCGTGTGAAGTTAAGAATAGGTTCAAATTACCAACAACTGAAAAAAATGAGATTAAGAAAAGTTAGAAAATTGATTGAGTAGGTTTATTAGTAAGAAAACTGATAGTAAAGTTTGAAATTCAAAGAACGATTCGAAGATAGAAAGAAAAAGTTTTAACTTTGATGTATTGCAAAGCCTGCAGAGTGGGTTTATTAGGAAATGATTTGAAGATTGATAGTGTATATTTATCAATAGTTTAAAATATTTGATTTGGAAAGCAGTAGAAATGGGATTATGAGTTGAAAAGTCATACAGCAAATGTAAACAGTCACTTCGGCTGTCATAAATTACTTCCACATAATGTTTTTTTGCTTTTTTGAATAGAGAAAACCTCTTATTTCGAATGTTAATCTAACACACTTCCGGCACTGAACAGGAGAATACTTTGTAGCATGTTTTTATACCCACGAATGTATTGGTATTTATCGTCAACAAATATTTGTGAACTTAAAAAGTAATTAGCAAATACTGAGCTCCCCTAGTTCAATTTACGTAACGTATTCACTATGTTGTATAAATTTTGATAGATAAATAGATAAGTTGTCAATCAGTACATATCAAAGCGGCTGGAAGTGACTGTGAGACTCATTGATAGAATGTTGGATATGAAAATGTAGATAAATTGATAAATAATATTATGTATCAACATACATATGTACAAACATTGGTAAATATTGATTTGCTTGTAGATAATGGTGAAAAGGCGGAATAGACTAATAAAGATAAAAGGATTATTCATAAAATTGGGGTGAATATGCAATGATGTCTACCGAATTTTTCAACTGTAGGGAATTATATATTATTTTACTTAAAATAATTCTAGAATTTAGGAAGCTGATTAGCGAACTCAAGTTGATTTCGTAATTTCTACGATTTTATAACTAATTTATCACTTCACCTATAATTATAGGATCCGTTAAAATATTCACGGTATTCGTATAAGTAGTTAGTATAAATTTGGCCATTCGAACACCCGCCGCTACGGTTAATGATTAAACTGTTGTTGGCAACAAATGTATACCATATTAAGATATTCCTTGCCACAGGCGCAACTACAACAAATGACCTTGTCAAGCTGTTACATATAGCAACAACTGCACGAATGAAAACGGAAATTTGTAACATCAAAAAAGGCACACAGGCTAGCAACGAAAGGGGACTGTTCGCCACTCTTTAGTTGCTAACCTGTAACCTGTATTGTTGGTTCAAAATGAGCATAAAAACCGCCAATCGACTTAAAGGCAAACGCGCTGTACCCACAAATGTTTGCAATTAAGCGAAAACACAGAGGGAGCTGTTGCACTTTTTATAGGTTAAATTTTGGGGTTACCAGATGTACAAAATATATTTACTAAATATCATTTGAAATTTTTAATATATTTTCAGGTAATGGTTTTGTAATTGTATTTGTAACCGCAGTAGTAATAGTATTTGCAATAATAATGGTAATGTTATTGGTAATCATAAATATAATGGTATTGGTAATCCTAGTAGTAATGCTATTGATAATTGCAGGGGTTATTTTTTGTGGAAAAGTAATGGTAATGATATAGGTAATCACATAAGTAATGGTATTAGTAATCGCAGTAGTACAGTGTATTGGTAGTCACGGTGGTAATGTTATTGGTAATCATAGGGGTAATGGTACTGCTAATCACAATGGTAGTGATATTGTTTATCATAGTGGTAATGATATTTATAATCACAGTGGTAGTGTGTTGGTAATCGTAGTAATATTGATGCGAGTAATGCTATTCGAATAAGTAACGGTAATTCCAATAATAACCGTAATGGTATTTGTATTTGTATAAAGTTTTTGTTATATAGATAATGATTTTTAACAGTTTTAATGGTAAAAGTATAGACGCTAGTAATAAAGCAATTCGCATTGCATATGTGACGGTAATTCCAATAATGGTAATGGTATTTGCATGCATTATTTACTGAATTTTGCCACAAGAAGACATGCTAATTATTTATGTATCTATAAGTTGTTGCCGAATAGCCGTAGCAATGCAAATAGCAAAAGTAATGGTAAATAGTAGTTTTACTTGTAATGGTAATGGTAACCATGGTAATGGTAATCATTACAAGGTAATCAAATATACTAATTCAGATTCATGATCAATTAAGTGGTAGTGAATTAGTTCGCTGTTCCCGCAATTTAATGACATTTGTAATGGAAAAGATCCTTAGACTACTTATAGTATCGATGCAATCTAAATACTTGTGGAATAATAGTGTTAATAGTATTGATGATTTTGTGTGTACCTGTAAAGTTACTAGTAACCCGATAATAATGTAAATGATAGTGTCAATTGTAATTATACTTACTTATTATTGTACTGGTACTGAAATCATAAATAACAGTGGTAATTTTATTTGTAATAATAATTTACAACAATTGGTATTGATTGCAGAGTATTGCTCTTTGTCTGTATTCATTACTAGAAGCATCGCTAACAGGATTTCAAAAGAAAAGAGAAATTTCTTTGCTGAATCCGGTCACCAATGGCGATTTAAATGATAATCTGCCATACCCTTCCACTAGTTCAACTACTTTTCATTTAACACTTATCCCTTGAACCTTGCTGCCATTTTCTAGAATATCAATAACGCCGTGCTGGAGCCAAAGAACCGTGGCAGCAGCACATAATTTAAATTAATCCTTAATTACGTAGACAACATCCTGCTGCTACTTACTGGTCGCTTGTCTCAGTGCCGATGTTGGCTTAACGAACTTATCAAAACGGTGTAGAGACGGCATAGGCCTGCACAAGAGGCGGCTAAATGCTCACACACATATGCACATATTGGCAGAAGCACAATTTGCTACGAAAACCGCGTTAACCGCATTTAGTTAAGCCATACCACTTGAAATTGAAACATACGCGGGTTCAGAATCCTCTTGTTGTTGCTGTTGTTATCGTTGTTGTCGCCTGTGTTTTACGCCCCAAACTCCAAACTCTGTGTGGTGCCGTCATTTAAAGTCAATTAATTTATATATGCACGCATACAAAAATACAAATTCGTACAGACACATACATATATATAAACACATACTTACGTACACACATAAGGTTATTCTTTATTATCGCCACGTTTGGTTTACAGTAAGCAATCAACTGCAACTACATAACTATTGCTGTCGCTGTCGGCGTTGTAGCATGTTGCACGTTGCGCGCGTGTATTAAAATGTCAGAACAATGTGCTGCATGCCACAAATTTTACGACGACGACAGCAACGCATGTATAACAGTTGTTGCTCTTAAGACTTCGATTATGATATTTTGCAACATTTAGCTACTTGCTACTGTTGTTGTTGTTGTAGCTATTCTAGCGTAGCTGTACATTACAGCCTAACTACTACCGCAACTACTATTGCTGCCGCTACTTGCAACCAAAGTTAAAAGCAGCCGAAGCAATCAACAATAAAAAATGGTAGGGGCGGGCGAGCCGGCGGCGGTAGCGGCTGCGGTAGCTAGTCGCTTGGCAATTGCTACTGTGCGCATATTTTATAGCAGCGGCAACGGTAGCCAGCCACAACGGATGCTTATCAATGGCGAACAATCCGCCGACAGCCAAACCGTTGCCGCTGCTTACCTTGCAACAACAAACACAGGAGATACACACAGGTTTTGGTGCATATACTCCCCGACATCGGTAGAGATACCCGCTCGTTGTAGATGCTGCGGCTTGCGCAAATTTTAATTAACGCACAGATTTTATTTCAACAACTTTTTCCGCCTTTTTTGGCTGCCCTTTGCAAGATTTTTTTGTTTTTTTTGTTTTTTTTGTTTTTTTTTTTTGTTTTTGCTTGCTACACCTTGTTTACTCATTCCATTTCAAGCGCTTAATTTATAAATGATTTTTTTTGCTTTCCTCTTTTCAGACTGAAAACCGATAATAATGGCGGCGCTTGGTGCCCCAAACATATGGTCTCGAATGCGTTGAAAGATTACCTGCAGGTCGACTTGCTACAAACGCATGTCATTACGGCGATACGTACGCAGGGTCGCTATGGAAAGGGTCAAGGTCAAGAGTATACGGAGGCCTATGTGCTGGAGTATTGGCGACCGGGTTTCACTAAATGGCAACGCTGGAAGAATACGCAAGGAAAGGAGGTAAGTGGTGATTATGATATGATGAATTTGAGAATCATTGAATTTTATGGAAAAAGTAAAAATATTTGTGGATAAAGTTGTGGTTGATTATGGTTTAAGGAAGTAACAAATTTGAAAATACTAGTGCAGTTTTGGGTTGGAAAAATATTTAAATAGCTTCTACTTGAGAATTTTGAATTATAGATCAAATAGTTCCAACAAATAGTTGACTCTAAAGCTAGAAGGATTTGAAAGCTGCATCTCAAAGCACCCTAAACCTTCCGGCTAATTTATAGATACAAAAAAGTGATATTGTTGAGAAAAGCTTCACTTTCCGTAAAAGTCCAGAAAGAATATCACCAACGTTATAGAAACTTTCTGCTTCACCATTACAATAAAGTCTATATGGTTCGAAAACCTCAATTATGTAAAATAGTCCGAAAAAAACCAAAATCACATTTAATATTCTCCAGAAGACTGCAGGAAATATATAGAGTAGGTCACAAGGGAAACAATGAAGTATCTCTTGCGCACTTTTCCCGCATTGGCAAGATTACGTTGTGAACAGCTGTCATCCCCACGGTATGATACACTGGTAGAGGTATCGATAATGATTTAAAATTCGCGTCAAGCGCAGGCATCTTCTACTACTCCTCTTAGACCTACCAACTGGACTCCATCTGGTATTGCAAAGGGCCAAAACTGGTCAAAAGTGTCGCTTATTGGCCTACTAGATTGAACTAATGTTCCTTAAAGTCGATAGATTACAAACCTCATTGGAATGACCTCAATGTTCTAGTTATTACAACCCAAATACAGCTCTGTAGCAGAATACGGAAAAGTCTGCGATCACCGACATAAGATAGTATGGCTATCTCAAATACTTCCTCACATTTGCCTAATATTTACCATTCCATCATAGATATACAAATAAATGTCCATCGAATTTATTTAGTGTGAACCTACCACCACCGTGGTAATTAATTTTTCGGACAACTTTTATACTATACGGTCTGCTATATATGTATATTTCTGGCCTAATAATGAAAATAGGAATATTTATCAACGAAAATGGTTTTATTGTTTTTCAAAATATTATCCATCAAGATTTATGTACTTTTGCATGCGCTCAAACCAATTTTCGAAGCACTTTTTCCACTCCGATTAAGACACCTCCAAAACATGGTTTTTGAATGCTTCAACAGCATCTTCTGGCGACGAAAATCGTTAACCATGCATTATTTTCTTGATGTGTGGGAATAAAAAGAAGTCATTGGGTGCCAAGTCAGGGCCGTACGGCGGATGACCCATCAATTCGACGTTTTGGCCGGTCAAAAAGGCGCTGGTTTGAGCCGATGTGTGAGAGCTCACATTGTCATGGTGCACAATGATTCGTCTTCTCTTGTTCGCTTTTCGAATTTCTCCGAATATCGAATGTATCACTCAGAATTGACCGTCCTACGTTGCTCTCTTATACACATCTAGATGTGTATAAGAGACAGGGTTTGAGCCGATGTGTGAGAGCTCACATTGTCATGGTGCACAATGATTCGTCTTCTCTTGTTCGCTTTTCGAATTTCTCCGAATATCGAATGTATCACTCAGAATTGACCGTCCTACGTTGCTCAAGCGGAACAGTCGCCACATGACCAGTTTTGCCGTAGAAACAGGCGACCATTTGCTTCAAAGTGCTTCTTCCACGAACAACTTTCGTTAGATTTGGCACGTCTTGGAAGACCCACACGGTCGATTGCCGTTTTGTTTGGGGCTTATACGCATAGATCCATTATTCGTCACCTGTGACGATCTTATAAACGTCTTCTGCAGCACCGCGAACGTATTTTTTCAGCATTTCTTTACACCAATCCACACGAGCATCATTTTGAGCGGTTGTCGAATTGTGCGGGATCCAACGAGAACAAACCTTTTTTACGGTCAGGTGTTCATGCAATATCGAATGTATGCTGGTGGGAGAAATG